TTCACACCTACACTAATATTTACTTTTACTAACGTCAAAAATACTACATCTATTTTATAGACAAATAATATATGAAGAATTTGCTTCCAAAGTTCCGACACTCAACAATAGATGGCATTGTATTCTGCAGTACCTATGGGAATTTACTTAGAGCTAGAAATCCTATAAATAAATGTAAACGAGAGCTTTGATTTTATTCCTTGGAACATCTACGACTTCAAGGGAACACGCACTTCACACTTCACATTTCCCCTAGTTCAGTTATTTCATGGAAAAAAACTATTATATAAAAAGTATTTCACTATACAAAGTATTATTTAGTTTTCCTCCAGTAAAGTTAAGCAAAAAAAAACAAACAACATTGCTGCAGCAAGTATCACAGTAGCACCACAATAAATACGGTTTTAGGTAATACACCTAAGCTGCAGCAACGCTGAGTAGTCAGTTTATGTACCTGGATTTTATTACTAAGGACCATAGACAAATGAAGACAATAGAATGGACTGTATGAAATGGTATACTTTGTGCAATAACAATAAAATAAGAAAACAAAGAAAGAAGAAATACAGAGGAAAAAACTAAAGAAGTCATTGAAATCTACAAATCTATTTAGACCCTTCCTTTTGTCTTTTGTTTGTATTTGATTTTGTGTGAGGGTATTTGCATATTTAAATTGTATACTTGCACAGAACAATAAATACAGTGCAAATGTTTAGCGGGCGTTGCATGTGTGCCAACAGTAATATAGTATATTCCGCATACTTGAGTTCAGCCCACCATCTTCGCTTATGGTCATTATGGTATTATACATTATGGTTACACAACGTAGGATACATCTATATATTTAAAAAAATAGATTTAATATTGGGTTAACTTCTTAGGAAATTGAAAACGGTTACGAGACTGGATTTTTGGTTCGGGTTTGGATTACGGAAGCATTAAACATAAATTTTAAAATTTTCGGCTATAGCCTACAATACACTACTGTAACAGGATCAGGAATGAATAGAGATTTTTTAAACTGTATTTTCTGGTATTAGTTGCAAATCAAAACACAAAAGTACGATCGAAATATTGATTTTTATAGATATCACGATACGATCAACGAGAAGGCGAGATATATTTTTTATTATTTTTCTTAAATCAACCAGATAATAAAGAAACCAGAAGTTTTTGGAATTTTTGAGATTCGAACGTCGTACGTATATTTAGAATTGTGATGTTTAGATAATCTCAGTACAGAGTACTAAAAAACCGATCTCAAAAGTACGTGGAATTACATCTATTTGCCAAGTTTTATTGAAATATCCCCTAGTTCGCCACTATACAGGCCTTGACACAGGAGATAATAAAAATCGGTTCTCACTGCTCAAAGTATATTGAGACAAAACCGCCTTGAAACGGAGAATAGCAACACCAACCATTAAAATAATTGCTCCTTAAGTAAAATTTAGGCGCTATTTATAAAAATTAATGTTCATGCGTGCTATGCCACCCTTAAAGGTGGATGATTTTCATAAAAATGAAATGGGACTACTATGGAGGTACCCTCTTTCCAACAAAAAAAGAATCATGAAAATCGGTTCACAAATACCGGAGTTATTGCGTAACACACATACAAAAAAAAAATATACAGTTGAATTGAGAACCTTCTCCTTTTTTTGAAGTCGGTGAAAAATAAAGGTGCGTGGCAGTCAGCTGGCTTTCGCCATTACGACGCTAGATATCGGTGTGAACGGATGTATCTCACGCGCACATTAACTAGCCAAACGTTGTTTTATTGAGCTACCCCTGTACAAAGTAGTGTAGACGTCACAAGAGTTAAACTAATTAGTTTGGCTCTAAATACGTGGACACTGAACCCATTAAATAGATTTAGACCTAAAAGAAAATTTAGAATCATTCAATATTTAGTGTTTGAGCATTTGAAAATCATAGTAATTTTAAATTTATTCATTTAGCATTTTAAGCGTACATGTAATGACTGTAGAAGTTATGAGCAAATGTTTGTTAGCCTTCAGCTTTATGCCCGCCCTCACTGGAAACTCCGTGTATTTGGGGTCGTATACGAACCATCTCGCTAAGGAGCTCATATTCCCTCAATGAAGCTTCCGGTGCCAGGAAGGCTGTCGTCTATTTTCGCACCTGAATAATTTTAATAATCTACTGATTAATGTTTCGATACACGATGCCCTAGGGCATCACTTTCGATATTTTTTTCTACCTTTGAATCTTCTGTCACTTTATTTTTATTATTATACTAAATGACAGACGAACAAGTCGTGTATTTGTTGATATATCCATGACAGTTGCAGTGCCACTCAGAACATTAATTAGAAAAGATCTTAAGGACACTGCTACTTCGCCTGTCATTCTGAGAAATAAATTGACAATTTCCACGTGCTTGTAATTTCACCCTTCAAAACCGGAACAAAGTAATGCTGACATTACTGCTTGGCGGCAGAAGTAAGTAAAGTAACAATGCTTTCCTGGACGACCTCTTTCACAAGGAGCTCTACTGGCTACAAAATAAATAAATTGACAAGTCCCATGTGCCTGTAGTTTCACCAGCACCCATCACAATCGGAACGCAGTAATGTGTGCATTACTTCTTGAAGGCAGACTGTTTTTAACCGACTTCAAAAAAGGAGAAGATTCTCAATTCCACTGTAAGTTTTTTTTGTTTTTTTGTATGTACATATGTTATGCGATAACTCCGGTATTTGTGAACCGAATTTCGTGATTCTTTTTTTGTTGGAAAGTGGGTACTTCCATAGTGGTCCCATTTCATTTTGAAGAAAATCATCAACCTCTAAGAGTGGCTGTTCACGCATGAAGATTCATTTTTATAAATAGCGCCTAAATTTTACTTAAGGAGCAATTATTTTAATGGTTGATTTTGTTATTTCTTTAGTTTAAGGCGTTTTTCTCTCAATATGCTTTGAGTAGTGAGAACCGATTTTCATTATCTCCCGTGTCAAGTCCCGTATAGTATATTTCAATAAAACTTAGCAAATAGACGTAATTTCACGTACTCTTGAGGTCGGTTTTTAGTACTTTGTACTGAGATTATTTAAGTGTACTATAAAAAGAATCTGTATAGAGCTTGAGCGGCTAATTACTTATGGCGTGTAGAGACACCCCATATTCATCTCACGAATTGTATAAAAAAAAGAAAGTCTGATTGAGACAAGTTAAGCAACAAAAACTTATGCATGGACATTTCACTGTTTATTTACTAGGAGATTGTTGTGTAAATAAGCTCAAATTTTGTTCCATATATAATTCCGTGAATATTTTCGGTACCATCTAGAATTACTCCAACAACATCCACTTATATAGATAACATTGAATTTAGCAATAACACTATAATAAATAATTTAAATAACGCAAATACAGCAAAGAAAAGTTTTATTATGTTTAAATACAATGTGTTGACTTGCATTCTCGCCATATTCTTATAGCCATAGCGCAGCCGGAGGAAACGAGAACGCCTTTTTTTACGGGGGGATATCTTTATAGATACCCCTGAGCCCAGGGAGACTGTGGGGACTCTCCCTCCAGACTGGAGGGCCTACCCCACTAAAACCCCCCCGAGTTTACCTCCCGCCGGTTACGCCGGTGGCGGCGTCGTGGCGAATGTGCACCGACCCCACGACGCCGCCAGGGCTCCCGCGACAGCGGAGGGGCAGGTCATTTGTCCTCCGACCCGCCCCCCAGACGAATGAGGCCGTGCAATGCAGGCTCCGGAGTCCCTGCCCAGAGCCCGCTGGCCTCACTAGAGGATCAGGCGAGCAGCGAACTGCCTCCGCGTTCTCCCCGTACGTCTGTGCCGAAGCGGGTGCGCGTCCGCCGCGTCCTCGTGCACCCGCTCCGCGGCCTCCTTTTGCGACATAACCTCTCCGCAAAAGGAGGCCACAGCCTCACAGGACTCCTCGCTACCGAGCATGGCGGAAACCACGCCTGGCAGTGAGAGGTTCCGCCCTATTGTCCCCGTCAGAGTACGGCGCTGCTCATTCCACCGGCTGCACACCTCTAGAGTGTGCTGCGCGGTGTCCTCCGCAGCGCCGCACTCGTGCCACGACGGAGACGGTTTCCTTCTCGCCTCTTTGTGCAGGTAGTGACCGAAGCAGCCGTGTCCGGTCAGCACCTGCACAAGGTGGTACGATAGTGGCCCGTGGGACCGACTCGCCCACTCTACGAGGACAGGACGGATGGCTCCTATGGCACGAGCTCCATAGGGGGATCGACCAAGCCCTCTTTCCGCCGGTCTCGCATACGCAGCGTACACGCTTGCCTATTGTGAGGGTGATAATTAGCATAGGGGTGGGTTAATTGCCGAACTCGTCGCAATTATAGTGATCTATTTACTAGTCTCTCAAGAAATGCTACGTGGTTTGATATGTAAACAAGAGATAAGGCAAAAAGGAACCGCTACCAGGTTCACCAGACAATGCATTACCATCAAGTGCAAGTGCGTGACCATTCTTATGGCATGACGTGAAAATTTAGTTTACGCGGACGAGATTACGAATGTCGAAAAATTACACGCAAAAATCGTCTCTGCTTTCAAAGTTACGGTAAGTCAAATGTGCTAAGTTGAAGCGAAACTCACGTGCAAATCTTTGCATAGCTGGTGGTGGCTCTGGTATGGACCACGGACCACACCAGCACCACGTAGTGGCGGGAGCGGGCGTGCGGTAGCGCATCGTTAATTTTTATACATCACAACGGTGATATTTTTTGCTTACCTACCTCTGACGTCCCTTGATATTTGCATAAAAAATTTAAAATATTACAATTTTCAGACTATTCATTTAAAATACAAATATTTTCTTATTATGCAAACATTTTAGGTCTCTTTTTTGTTTATCTTCGACTTCCAGTTGGCTCATTTTAATAAAACTGATAAAATACTAAACAAAGATTTCACATGATTTCACACGCTACTAATACATTGACACCCTCAAACCGAACCCAACTTAAAAGCTCATTCTCTGATGGAAGATGAAGTTAATGTTACTATGCGCGATAGAAAAAGGAAAAGAGGTGACTATGAAATCAAGGATTTAAATAGTGAGATGTTCTCAATGTTTAACGAATTTAAAAAAGATTTTTTCACATCCATGCGCTCGTCAATGGATGAAATAAAGGCTCAAAATAAACAACTTCAAGAGTCATTTGAATACATTAACAACAAATATGACGATGTTCTAACTGAGCTTAAAGAAATGCAGAATGATAGAAGAGAAAATCGAAAATATATTACGCAGCTCGAGGAGAGAATCGATTATCTTGAATCTAAATTTCGATCTAGCAATGTCGAAATCCGTAACATTCCGAAAAGTGAATCCGAAACAAAAATGGATCTAGTGAATATGGTGGTGAAACTAGGTCAGGTCCTGGATACTAGCGTTAATCAGTCTGATATTAAAGACGTTTTTAGAATTAACAACAAATCCACAAAGAAACCCATAATTGTTGAATTTACGTCAACATTAATTAAGGAAGCAATAGAAAAGAATGTTAAAAATTTTAATAAATATCATTCGACTGACAAGCTCAACACTAAGCATCTTCATCTGGAGGGGCCCAAGATTCCAGTTTACGTTGAGGAAAATCTTACTACAAAAAACAAAAGACTTTTCTATCTAGCTAGAGAATTTGCGACTCAGAAAAACTTTAGATACTGTTGGACGTCAAATGGGCGAATATTTTTACGTAAAGAAGAAGGTGGGCAAGTTATACGCATTAATTCTGAAGCAGACATAGCAGCTATCAACACTCAAAAGTGACTATCTGCAGTAAAAAATCCTCCCTCTTTTTATAATTGCTGTTTTAATTTAAGAATTTCAAACAATCTGTTTAAAGTTATAATTTTCGACATGTACACTACATTCGTAACAAACACATATTACTTACCTTACATATTGTACCTTTACACACTTAAACTTATAACTCCATTCACTTATAACAGCCTTGTTGTAGGAATTACTAAAACCTATCCCAAGACTTTAGTCGTAGGGCTGATACATACATAAACATTTACTATCACACACACCTAAATATAATATTATATACACTTATATCACATAATACAATCACAAAACATTCTCAGCCTTATCAGATATCTACTTATGCACAAATACACGTACGCGTATATATATTACTATGTACATATGAATTCTCCAATACATTACCGTTCTTAAATTTCCACTCACTCATTATGTTGAGTAAAATAAGAAAATTCTATTCTTATTTTAGGTCCTTTAGACAAGAACCCTTAAAACAACACTTTAAAATTCGACAACATAAACAGTTTTAACAGAGATTTGGATTCTATAACGGTTTCTGAATCATCAATTTGTGTAATTGAAGACTGTCAAACATTATTATCGCAAGAAGTAGACTCAATTAAAATTCTAAATCAAAATATAAGAAGTTTAAATCACAATATTGATGGACTACATACCCTTTTAGCGAGGGCTAAAATTAATTGGGACGTTATTATACTGACTGAATGCTGGCTTTCCAAGATGCCTCACATTCCAACTATTGAAGGATATAACGTAGCTTCATCCATCAATAACAAATCACAAAACGAAGGGGTAGTAACTTACTTTAATAAAAACCTCTTCCCTACGGTGGTTGAACCTAATCTATGTGACGCAAACTGTTTAATATTAATCTTAAATCGTTTAACAGTTATAATATCGATTTACAGGCCTCCCGCTCAACGAGATGTATCGAATTTCTTAGAATCCTTACACATCTTACTTCTGAGTTATATTTCATACAAAAACGTAATTATTGCTGGCGACATAAACATTGATATTTCACCCAATAATGCAGACCTTCGATCTGCAGACTACCTAAATATGATTGCTGCCCATGGTTTGCTACCGGCCCATAATATACCTACGCGTAATAGTTCGTGCTTGGACCACATATTGTTGAAAACTAAGTTGCCTGCTTATTGTTATGTTGCGCATACCTCCTTAACCGACCACGATAGCGTTATTTTCTGTCTGCACAGTAAATCCTACATAATGCCTTCCCACAAAACGATTAGGAAAATCAATTACCACACATTAGACTCAGATATAAATAATTTAGACTTCAATCAATTATATAATTTACATAACGTTAATCAAGCTGCAAATTACTTCATTAAATCCTTTAATCGTATAATCTTAGCCAACACCATTTTAAAAAATGTCCCAAATCGTAAAAGAACTATAAAACCTTGGATAACTTCAGGATTATTAAGATGCATGAAAAATAGAGATAATTTACACCAGAAACTAAAAAGTTCTCCAAACGACGATATCTTGAAAACAACCTATAAAAGATATAGAAATTACTGTAGTTTTATTTTAAAGAAAGCAAAATCAGAATATGAAAAATGTGAATTTCAAAAGGCTGGTAAAAATAGTAAAAAATTGTGGACTGTAATTAAATCTATTACACACTCTTCAAAACAAAAGTCATCGGCTACTGAATTGGTTTCTCCTGCAGACCCCAAGTCCACAATTAATAACGTGAACCGATTTTTTGCAAATGTTGGTAAATCTCTGGCGGAGAAAGTTCCTTGCATCGGGTCTACTGTACAAATTGTTACCACTAAGCAAATCCCCCCTGTTAGCAGTTTTGTACTACTTTCTACTGATGAAATGGAGGTTGAGTCTTTGATTGATAAGCTTAGAGACGAATGTGCAGCTGGTTATGAGGGTATCGCAGGTTCACTTATAAAGCGCTATAAACATATTCTGACAACACCAATCACTTTCATTTGCAACCAGGCCATCTCAACAGGTGTATTTCCGGATGATTTTAAAATAGCTCAGATTGTACCTATCCATAAAAATGGGAATAAAGGATATGTCAATAACTACAGGCCAATTTCATTACTACCAGCTTTGTCAAAAATATTGGAGAGGATTTTAAATAGTAGGCTCATTAATTGTCTTGAAAAAAACAAACTATTCTCAACTTCACAGTACGGTTTTCGCTCAAGGGTATCCACCAGTCACGCAGTGCACGATCTTACGGATTTTGCTGTTAAAAACATTGATAAAAATAAAAAAGTTCTCGGCCTGTTTTTGTACTTAGCTAAAGCCTTCGATACTGTTTCTGTACCTTTACTAATTTCCAAACTTGAAGGTGTAGGTATCAGGGATCTGCAATTGGCAATTTTTAAAAGCTATCTAACGGATCGTAAACAATGTGTTAGGATTGATCATTGGACGAGTGATGAGCTCCCGGTAAAATATGGTGTCCCGCAAGGTAGTATTCTCGGTCCCACACTCTTCCTCATTTACATCAATGACCTGTGTCGACTGTCACTAACTTGTGGAAAGATCTTTACATATGCAGATGACACCGCCTTGATCTTCTACGGTAATACATGGGAGGAAGTATATCGCAATACTCAAAATGGCTTCAGTACTGTACTTGACTGGCTGAATAAGAATAAACTTACATTAAATGTTGACAAAACTAAGTATATTGCACTGACTATGACTAAAGCCACTCAACCTTGCCATGACGCCTACTCTATTTTTGCGCATTCATGCTTGAGACCTGAAATGCCCGGTTGTTCATGTCCTAAAATAGAAAGGTCCAACCTTATCAAATATCTAGGTGTCCTCCTTGATTGTACAATGTCCTTTAAGAACCACATTGATGCAATAAGTTCCAGATTACGTAAGCTGATTTTTGTGTTTAAAAAATTACGTCAAGTAGCAGATACTAGCACCCTTCGTATTGTGTACTTGGCACTCGGTCAAACTTTATTGTCCTATTGTGTTTCTACCTGGGGTGGAGCTGCTAAGGCTCATATGTTGCAGCTTGAGCGAGCCCAGAGAGCTATCCTAAAGGTTGGATGGAATCTTCCACGCCTCTATCCTACTAAAGATCTGTTCCTAAAGTGTCAGGTATTATCTGTACGCCAAATTTTCTTATTGCACTGTCTTCTTGAAGCACACTCCCTTGTTAATTACAATCCTCTATTGGTCAAGGACAGACGTCGCTTTGCCATTTACCCCAAATTTCATGCTAAGTATAGCTTTACACAGAAATTCTTCTGTTTCCTGGGAGGTCACTTGTACAACTACATCAATTCTAAAATCTACGTTTATAATCTGTGCAGGCATGATTGCAAAGTTACATTGATGAAATGGCTTTTAACATTGGACTATGACACTAGTGAAAATTTAATAAAAGTCACTAAATAAATGTAATTATTTTAAATATTATAATATTATTCAGAACTTGCACACACGCTTACATACACACACACACACACTCACTCACACACAGACACACACACACACATAAACACAAACACACACACAAATTTCACTCACGAAACATCTTCATATCTTTCCTTTTAGATTATATACTTACCTTTTTGAAAACTAAATAAATAAATTGTAACGGGGTGGGAGCCTGGAGATTTGTAACACAGGTCTAGTTACCTAGTACGAACTCCAGACTCTCGCTTAAGGTAGCTAACTTTAGTCATTATTAAGTCTTGTTTAACATATAATTATAATGTACAATCTTCCTTATGTGAGAGTGAATAAATAAATAAATAAATAAATAAATAAATAAATAAATAAATAAATAAACATGTGTTCCGATAGATAAATAATGATTGGTTTAAAACATATAAACCACTACAGAAGTAATTTGTAATGGTTTAACTAACGACTGTTTACAGCAAGCCGTACCGTATGAACCCTGTTTGATTCAACCTAGTAAAACTTTAACCTGATAATGTTATTGAATCTAAAACCGTAACAAATAATAATTCCTGGATTTTTTTATAATACCACTAATTAGGCGATTGTGAATATTCACCAAAATAGATAAAGGTTTTATAGGTATTAACTTTACAATAAATGGACCTATAACACTAGTTCACAGTTCCAATTATTTTGCCAGGTATTCCAAATCCAATTCATTCTCCAGCATAAAGATGAGTTACATTATCATTACAAAATAGGAATTCTCAAATAGACCAATCAACACAATTCGTTGAACCCTTTAACTAAACCACATTGTACTCTTATAATCTAATAGTGTTATAGGTACAACTAAAAGCGGAGTGTCGTTGCTTTTTGAAATTTTTAAACAAAAATAAACATCACCAACGTAAATATAAATTTTAAATCTCACTTTTATACTATGGGTCTCGAGTGAATACCACGGGCTTCGCTGCAGATCCACTTCTAGTACATGAAAGGGGCGCTAAATTGATAAAAAAGTCTCGTTAATTCCTTTGTATCTATCATTTTGTTTTGCTTTTTCCATCATTAGTTTGTGGTTACAAATGAGCTTCTGAATTAAAAAGTATCAAATGATATCCAACGCAAAGGTTAACTTTTGGACAAAATCCATTTGGTTGTTCGTGATTAAATTTACAAACTTTCAAACTTTGGTATTTACAGGTCGTAATAAAAAGGTCGGATCGTATCTCAAATGGTGATCGCACTCATAATAACAAACAACTTTTGCAAAAAAATAATTTTAGGTAGCATGAAAATCATTCTCAATTCGCAAGGGAAATTTATATGGGAATCGGTCATACCTTTTTGTTACACTCTGTGTTATTCATTTTATTTTATTTGTAGGTCAGAAAAAATAATGGGCGCTAATTTCGAATGTCGCTCCATCCTGATAACGAGGTCCAGCACTGGTTTATGTGGCACAAAGTGCAATGAACTAATAACAGCTTATCCTTAAAATGTATTGGAAGGTACATTCAAGACAGGTTCATAAAAGTCTATTT